ATTTTAGAAGGCGAATCTTCTCAATGAAAGGCGTTCACATGAGAGCAGACAAAACCTACACACAAACTTAAGCAGCCTGCCTTACTACTGCAACACCAGGAAGAATAATTTAGTAAAATTCTCAATGCTGCATCTTTGGATGCATGTACAGAAGCTCCTGCTGAATCAAGGCAAGGACGTGCTAAGTGCTGTTTTAATAATTAACAAAGCAACCCTAAGCATTGTGGAATACAAATACAATGCCTCACCAAGATCACTACTTTCTCCCAAAACTTTCTAAAACCACGTCTTCCTAACAACCCCCAGACCGAGCTGCCCAGCCTCAGGCTGTGTGTGCTCCCTTACACAGCATCACTGGCTGCCCACGAGGTGCCCAATGTCCTCCCCCCTGGCTGGGCAGGCTGAAGAGACACCTCTGCTCACCTATTAACCACCAATTCCGAAGAATTTCCAGCACCAAGAGCTGCACACCAGCCTCCCTGCTTTGAACACTTCCCCTGTTTTTCTTTTGGTTTAGAACATATTTTTTACTTTCTAGGCATAGATTAAAACTTCACTAATTTGGGCACCACAACTGACATACTTCCACCTCGTTTACAATAAGGAGCTGCAGTATCTCAACGCCACTCCAGTTTGGGATAGCAGCTCACAACTGAGGTAGACTTTTGCCTATGCAGTTTGTCTGATGCTACTGAAAGCCACTGTTGCCCCTTTATTGGTCTCCAACTCTCATATACTAAACCAACATTAGGAAGAGGTAAACTCAGAATGCAGCAGGAGACCTCTGAAAAGATCAACAGTTCCCAAGGCTCATATTACCGATTTAATTAAAGCAATGAATAGATCCTTTTAAATACTGTATTTTCACATGCACCAATTGCAGGTTACCTGTAAAATTCAATAGCAGTTCGAGTGCTGTGGGTTTTCGGGGAACATTCAACCCATTACACGAAAAACTCTCCTTCAATAACATCCAACCTCAAATCCTCACCTCTGGCATACATTGATTCTGACGCTGCGCTGCTTACTCAAACAAATAGTCTCAAATAATGCATTTTAAAAGTGAATGAGTTACCTGAGGTACGGTTTAGATATCTGAGAAACATTGTAAATGCATTCAGATTTGGCTCCATAATCACACCCACTATTTACTATGATTTCACAGAGGAATTCTGGCTAGGCCTGAACAAGACCTACTCCATCACGAAACAAGGGGACTACATCTTACGGATTGAGCTGCAGGACTGGAAAGATAATAAGCGTTACATCGAGTATGCATTCACCCTGGGAGGCCCTGAAACAGACTACGTGCTGCAGCTCTCACGGATCTCTGGGAGCATCCCCAATGCACTGCCAGAGCAGACAGAACTGCGCTTCTCAACTGCAGACCACGATATGGCCGTAATAAATGACCTCGACTGCCCACAAAACTACCTAGGTATGCTGGGTGCATGAATGTGGATGTTCCCTTGCTAAATGAAGGATGGCAGTATGCTTTAGTGAGTGCTTACTGATATCTGGCTGGCTTTAGAAGCATAAAAGAGACAACAGCTGCCGGAAAGAGTGGGAGATGCTTTTTGTTGGGCTCTACAACAATGAGGTATCACTTTTCTACTTTACAGAAGGGAAAAGAAAAGCAGAGAGAGGCTGAGTAAACAGCCAGAGTTAGAACCAGCAGAAGTGGCTGAAATAAAACCTAAAGCTGAGATAGTGAGCTACGGAGTACAGCTCCTTCTCTAAAGCCCGCTCTGCTGTGGCAGACTTCTTCCCTTCTTGCAAAAGAGAAGAGGACAAATTGACTCTTACATCCATTTTGACTACAAGCCAATAGTTAAGAATAGAGGCAAGCTTCCACTGAAAGGAAGACTTAAGCTGCTTGTCAAAAGTGTATGCTAAAATTGCTCTCAAAAGAAGAAGAGAGGTGTGAGGCTAAAGATATATCTCTCCTTAAAGATGATTTGTTTAAACATTTCCTAAACTCACTGATGTTATGAAGCTTTTACGTTTCGCTGCTTTGCAGAAAAAAGCAAACAATGCAAAAAGCAATTAATGATTAAACTGCAGGATACAGAGTGCCCTACCAGGCAACTGCTTCACACAGCAAACATTTTGTTTCTAGCATTCTCAGTTTGAAAACTGGGGATGTCTGAAACAATGGTGAGTGTTATAATCTGTAGTGGACATAACACAGATGAACACTTTCAAAATGCTGTACTTATATATTTAGCACTGAGCCACAGCCAGCCCCTTACCTCTTGCCAGCTGAACTGGACTTCCAGTTCAAGATGGTGGTGAAGGACCTTGGCCAATAAAAAGTGATTTGTTTACTCCTGTAGATGCAGTACTTGAGAAAAATATCAGTAAATCAATAAGTCTGTTGTGGAGCTTTATGGGAAACTATATGGAGCAGACCCAAATGTCCCAGTTCAGTGGAAGCATTTGTGTGTGAAGTTTTCTATGCACCACTACTTCTATGTGAAGCAGCCACTAACAGGTAGCACAACATTTGCACAGTGGCCTTCAAGTGTCAAGCATCAAGTAGCTCCACGTACAAGCAACATTTCATTTGGGTACACTGGGTAATTGTCACTTTTGCTGGAACTGGCCTAAAGATTGATGTTGCTAATGGGAACTGTGTACTCAAGCAGAGCACAATAGGTTAAGGAACAACTGACAGTAAATGATATTACAATATTTTTTTCTCAGGAGGCTGGTGGCACAGTGAATGTGAGGAAACCAATCTTAATGGGAAGTACGTCGCACCAAGGTCAAAAGGAAGACTAGACAGAACAAAAGGCTTATACTGGAAACCTAGGAATGGAAGATACTACCTGCTCAAGTCAACCAGAATAATGATACACCCAACAGATTTAAAAATTTTTGACTGAATGCTCAACCAGATGCATTTCACAGCTAATACACTGAGCATCAAAGAAATTCCTATTATGTTTAATATCAGATGTGTGTCCAAATCCATACACTGTATGGTGCATTCTCCAATGACATAAACCCTGAGGCACATATGATGGTCTTACTGTATGTTTGGTGAGTATTCTCATTCATCCTAGCCCAAATGTCAGTGTGTTAGAACTTCAGAAGGGCTTTCATCTCTCTAAGATCAAACCCCATTGCCTAGGGAACAGATGCCTATCTATTTATTAGATAACATTGCTTGGGGGAAAGGGTTTTATGGCTGCTGCATTAACTTCTGGGCAGTGCAGGAGGGTACAGGAAGTGTTCAAGCAAACAGAAAGTGCTGGCAAAGTACTACAGAGGACCTGTAGGTATTGAGACCGTGGGAAAAGAGAGAAATTGTGTTTCATACAGTAACTGATTAAATGTTTGGTTCAATTCACTGCTGTTGAATGCTCCTATGAGGAAATGAAAGATGAGAAACTCCCTATTTTAGGGTTCTGTGTATTTCCAGGCAAACTTTTGGCAGTGTACGTTAGGCCAATTTTTGCTGAAGTACTGTACTCACGCAGCTGCAGAGATGTACACACACATTAAGTAAGCCATGGTGTAGACCTAATCTCTTAGATATCACACTTCAAAAAGTAACTGAACCACCCTTTGAAACTGAAACTTAAGGGCTAAACTTCAAAGCTCAATGAAAGGAGTGGGAGATTTTCTCATTTGAAACAGCTTCAGATCCATTCCTTTGTGACCTTTCAATACACCTCACTGAGAACTTAATAAGACTAAGAGAGCACAGGACAAAACGACTTTCAGAGGACAGCTGAGTAACCTGTGCCTGTGGAGTCCATGGTACCATCCAACAAACCCTGCAGGCCAACCTGTGTGCTGCTGCTCCTGAAAACATTCATATTTGTTTAACTTCAGCTGCAGAATCCTCCAAGGCAGTAGGACTGTCAACATGTTTACAGATGGCTTGATGTGGAACTGTTTATTGACAAAGACCTCAATTCTGCACTTATACTGAGTCATATTGACTTGTCTATTTTACCTTGTACAGCATGGATTTTCTATGTCAACATTTGCAACCATACAAACAGTGGTTTGAATACGTGATTTGTCAGGGTAAAGAAACTGTGAACAGAATGTGCTAATCACACAGAAACTGCAAGGATGCTACAACTTCCTATGGATTTACTGCAAAGCAGAAAACACACAGTGCTGCACATTTGTACTGGAGTATTGTAGTGTATAATTACCTACTTTCCACCAAAAAAAAAAAACAAAATCCAACAAAAACCACAATAAATTGAATTTCTGAAAAGACATGAGGTGTGGAACTTAAACTCTTTCTTGTAAGCTCTGTTTTCTAAAAGCCTCGTCTGTATTTATCCAATTTCAACAACAAGAACTACTGATTTTGCAAGTTAATCTGGTGAAATTACTCAACTGAAGAAGGCACTGCCCCTCAGAAGTGTATCATCTTCAGTAATACAGTGAAAAATCTTTAAATTAATAAAGGAAAATAATGAAAAGAAATCTGCTCCTGCCTGCAGGATATGGCTATAGGAAGGTTATTGTTTTCTGAAAATGCTCAAAAATATTCTTCCAGATCTTTATTTTGTTAAAGCATTGTAAACAAGGAAATTGCTTTTAAATCAAAGTGGAAATATGAATGGATTATTCATTTCCCTCATTTTTTAACCTCCACTGTAAATTAAAAAAAACAAGCCCTGGAAAGTAACAGAAAGCAGCAAAGCCAATTAGAGAACATTGCCTTTAGCACACAGACAAAATGAAAAAGATCTGCATAAATGTGGAAAGAACTCCACCAAGTTTGACTTTGTATCTTGAGAAACTAAGAAAGCTGTGCCACCCTCCTGCCTACAGCCAAGTTTTACGCAACTATGTTAATCCCTGCACATCTGTGCATTTTCTGCTGTGTCAGTCTGGACCCTTCCTGTGTCTCTGGCACAGCACACCAACTGATGCAGCAAGTTTTGCAACAAACCAGCTGATAAAGTAAGAATCTCTGGACCTGCCAATCTGAGGCCTTGAAATGTGAGACGTATTTCCAAACTAACCTGTACGTGGTATTTGGAACGTAGACATCTCTGGCAGGAAACTCCAGGATTTCTCTTGTAGGTCTAACTCTGCTGTCTGGGTAAAGTTTCACTTGCAGCAACTCTGGAGTTAGACAGTAATGGGGATTCTCTGGAGCTGGAGATATGTCTATCTTCAATTGAGCTGTAAGAAGAAAATGATTTAATTATAATAAATAGAAGTTAAATATACATCAAAAAGCATAGTCACACTTTCTTTTGCTATGGTTAATACCCAGACTTCATAAGTAAACAGATCACAGTTTATGTGGATTTAAGAAAACAAGAACATGTAATAGTGAATCAAACTGGTATCTAGGAGAATCAAAGCACTGCATGGTAAGAACCAACAGAAAAGAGACATCTTAACAAATCCCAGATGCTGTTCTCATGGCTAAGTTAAGGAAAGTCTAAATAATGTTACTATGAAGCCCATCTAGCACTAAATCTTGGGAATCTTGCTTATCAAACTGAAAAGGTGTACTAGGAGTTAATGAAAGCTGATCTGCAAGAAGATTATTGAACATCCTCCTTAACAAGTCAGCAGGCAGTACCGACAATACACATTATGTGCAGATGTCACCGAGGTTGGAACGATTTTTGAACATTTGGAAGACAGGAGAGGTGGAAAAATGGCATCAAATGATGAAGGGGAAACACAATAAAGAGTGAAGGGCGAAGAAAGAGAAGCTAAACATATAGATTAAAAAAAAAAAAAAAACAACCAACAATTGGCATAGATAGGTTCTGTAGAAAAGTGCTGGGTGACAACAGACAGTAAGGCAGTGTCCCAAAGGAAGCTATAACCATTAGGGAATGACAGAATCTCCTGAGTCGGAAGTGACCTGCAAGGATCACTGAGTGACCTGAGGATCACAACTCCTCAGACTTCAAAGACACTGGAGACAAATTCATCTGCTGTGGACAGATGAAGTCTGAGAAGGAGGAGAGCACTCTGTTCAGAGCACCAGACTTAAAGAAAACCATGGACAGATTCAAGGAACTCCAGCAGAGTCCACCAAAACAACAAGCAATTTTAAAATCACAGCCCTTGAGAGAAGGTTGAAAAAAAGCCCCAATGGCTGCAAAATGAACGCAGGTAAGAGTGAACTAATAACAGCATTCAAAGTATTTGAAAGGTTGGGATAACTGCCCCGAGGGCATGACATACCATGGTCAGGTTACACTTCAGAAAGATAATTTTGGGAGGTTTTCTTAATACCTAACCTCACCACAGGGACTGGTGAGTGCTGGGAGATAAGATCTAAGGAAGCAGCAGAACTGCTGTCACAGGGGATTTTCAAGAACGGGTTAAGTAAATATTGTCAGGAATAGCACAGGTCAAGGACTGGTGATGTTTCAATGCTGGCATGCTAGCATTTCTACTTTCCTTTCTCAAATAGAGGTGGAGCCAGTTCCTACTGACCAACTGGAAGCCAACACACACCTCTCAGTTGGTGAATGGCATTTTATTCAGAAAAAGAGAAGCCCTTCAGCCCTTAGGGGATTTAGGGCTTTGGGGTTTTGTGTCCTCTGCTCACAGATGCTACTCTCAGTGTGGCAAATGCTGCACGTGCTCATACATCAGTGAAAACACTGCCAGATAAAAATGCTGTTGGCCCACCAAGAATTATTGCCAACAATCTCCTAGGGCTTCTTTCGCACGCTTGCTTTTAAGAACTGGGTAGGAACTGGGAAGGACTAACCAACATGCTTAGTGAGCACAAGCCAGAAAGGTCTTGTTCAATACCTGTGATAGGTCTCAATCTCCGTAACACTGATGACGGCCGTCTCATGTCAGCCAGGAACTTGTACAAATCTTCATCACTCAGGCGATCACCCTCCTGTCGAAGAGATCATGTGCACAACTCTCAAGGACTACAGAAATATGAATAAACCATCAAATGCACACTAGCCTCTTACCTCTGACATCAAAATGTACCTTCACAGAATGAGGTGCTACATTAGCATGCTGAATTACTGCTAATTTCTTCATCCCTTTTCCTTTCTTTTCTTCTTATTAATCACCATGACAGCTGCAGGAGCTTTTCATTGAAAACCTTTTGTCTCCTCATCAATATTATCTTTTTTAAAACTGAGAATGGTTGTTAGAAGATTTCCCTAAAATATCCATTTTTTAGCAAGTATAATAGCTTGAAAAAATATCCATCATTCCAATGGTGATCCTCCTTCCTTTTCCTCTGCTTTTCCCTCAGTATGAGTCAGAGAGTCATACTTGACAAAAGCATTGTTAAGAAAGGATGGGAAGTGAAAGGACTTTGTTGTCAATCTTCCCTGCGTCTCATTCTAGTAGTTCAAAATTTTGTTATAACATTACAGAAAATGTCACCTTGCTACCTTCCAACTCTCCAAAAGTAGAAGACATCTGATAATAAAGGCAATAAAACACATTAAGAAGAAAAAAGCAACTGGAAAGAGAAAATGTTCAGTGGTATTTGGTTAATTGTACTTGAAGGGATTAAAGGATACAAGACAGAACTAGAAGTTGACATCCTTCTAAAAGGAATTTCCTGGGCTGTTCTGTGTCACTGAGACTCTAAAGATACCATTTGCAGAGCCCAATTTCAGTTATGCTGAGTTTCATGAAAGCACTCAGCAAAAGAGGCCGTTCATTTACATGCTTTCCGCCAGTATAACTTCAAACCCTGGATTACATTTCTCCTTCTTTATATTACTGAATTTAAGAGCAGAATGTGACTGGCTTCCCACAGTGAAACTGGCATACAACCAAAACAGTCAGAAAAAAAAGAGAGCTTAATCAGCTTTCAATATATAGAACCCACATCTTTGTAATCCCAATGACCGAGGAATCAGTCCAAAAAATATCTGGTTGTACACTATTAAATCCATCTTATACACGAAGGTGACATTCAAATAATAATTTTCCTTAACCAGATGTGGCATTAAGCAAACCTTAGGGAAAATTAATGAACTGAAACCATTTTCTAAGCTTCACTACAGATTTTATTCTGTTTAATCACATTTTCTACTGTTTTTCAGGAAAATCCCAAGCTCTGGTTAAGAAGAACTGCCAATCAGCAAAGAAGCATGAGAAATGTTCTGATGTTTTGGGCATCACTGGATGTGCCGACTGCAAATTACATTCATGAACCTGTTTCTGAGCCCTCCAATGGGACTGGAAAGGATTCTCTGTCATGCAATGAAACCAACAGCATCAAGCAAGCATCAGGACAGAGGCTATGCAACTCTTGGACTAAGGACTACCTGGAATACTTTTTGTGACATACTAACCCAAAAAGTTATCCTCAGCTTTTGTGCACTTGCTTTTAAGAACATTTTGCTAAATATGTTTACCAAAAGGCCAAACAGTGATTTTCCCAGCACACAGTAGATCTGGAGCAAAACACACCAACATTCTTCTGGTCATTCTTCTGGACCATTTCTATTAGAGCGGGTAACTCACTGTGCCATAATGATGATTCACTCTTCAAGCAAAAACAGTGAATAGTTTCAAGTTCTGTAATGTAAATTACTCACAGTACACTTCCTGAAAGAATCCACCTTTCAACTGCAGACCTGCTGGTGGCAGGATGAGCACACAATCTAATAAACTCACAGTATGCTGCTCAAAGATATGCCACGATGAGGGAACAGACATTACATACTGAAAGTATCACTAAGAACTTATTCAGATCTTAACTGATTCCTCATGATCCAATCACTCTGTACAAGAAGCCACTTTTTGCTTAGATGGTTTCATACAATACCTGCTTAAAAAAGTTTGTCACTGTCAGAGTAGCTGGTCTAAAACTGGTCAAATTGCAAGCCTCATCACCGCTTGTGGTTCTCTCTAACGAACGCCGCCCAACGATACTGGAATTCCTTCTCTCTGACCACGAGCCTTTGCGTTCTTCAAAAAACAGAATAGAAAGGGAGAGTAATTAAAAAAAAAAAAAAGAAAAAAAACAACTGTCCAAGAGCCTACCTTTGTTCCAAGCAGGATTTTCTACACAAGAAGATAGCTGCCGCCTTTGGAAATTATGCAATAAGCGTGATAGAAGAGGTGGTTATGCTAAGACAATCACACTCCTGAGGCATCAGGAGGCTATGAAGCACAGCCAACTACTTCTGCTCCTCTCACAGCAACCTCACCCCAGTGCCTTACTGCTATTATAAAAGTCTTTATCGTGTGGAGATTTATGTGTTTCCCTTGCTCTGAAAGATGATGAAGTTGGCAGTTTTGGGGATGCTGAAGAGCAGTTTCAGATGAGCTGTGTGGTTTGCAAAGATTAATCCACTCCTTTGGAAAATGTTCATCAGCCTGTAACACTCTCACACTTAGAAGCCTGGTTTTAAATAATATAACAGATGGTTTGCTTGTAAAATCCTTGGAAGATAAATCCATTTGTTACCATGGACTTCTCTGTTTCATTTCAACCATGACCTGAGACTACCGGAAGGCCTAGGGCAGGGGGAGAAACGGGATTAAAGGAGCAATGGCAGACACAGGGTGTAAATCAAGACTTCCTGACACTCTGGATTTGTCCACGCTCACTTATACAGATGCCACACACTTTACCTCCTGTGCCAACTTCTACTTCTGTGGAATCTCTTTCCAAACTTCCAGCACTGCTCACGATGTTCATTAAATGAATGGCTGTCCACGCAAAAGGCATCCGATATTTGCCCAGTCTTTGGCAAAACTGTTCTGCCTGGCATTTCAGTTTTTCCAGCTTTTCCTTATTCTGCGAAGAAAAGATTAAACCCAAGAGTGTTAAAAACAGAGGTACAGAAACAAAGGTTCATTTCACAAAATCTCTACGTAACAATGGCATCACTATGCATTATGCAGGCTTCTGCTTCACAGAACTGCAATCCAACCAACAGCGCCAGGTACAGGACAACCTGACATCCAGAGCAGCTGACTCTGTGCTCTTCAGCTTCCTCCATAGCCTGCACAATCCCTGTGAGCTCATCTGGCCCACCACCCTTCCAAAAAAAACCAAATTTTACTCTATGAAGTCTGAAATGACCTCTCTTAACATGATTTCATGCAGCAGGCACCCAGATCACCTGGAGCCAAATGGGAAGCAGAGAATAGTCCTCAACTAAGCAGTACCGTATTCATGCCACTAAGAAAAAGGGATATGAAATGACTGCCACAATTCTGCATTTTAAGAAGCAACTTTTTGCTTCAATTTGTTAAAAAAAATCCACTGACAGAGAGCTCAATAACAGTAAGCTGTGCTACTTGCACTCTTGTAGTTCAGCACGTGCCCATGCACCTCGCTGCGAAGGAGACCTTCATCACCTTTTCACCTACATTCCCTGCAAATGCAAAGCCTAAATTTCATGTAGGCACATTCCAACTTGTCAAACACAGGAAACTGAAAGGTTTTAATTTCTGTTTGCTGAATACCTCAGGTGAAAGATAAATGTTTTTTTCAGTGTGGTGCAGTGACACAGCTTCTTCAGCTAAAGACAGGTTAGAACTTTAGCAAGGCACAGCTTTTTTAGTGTTTCAGGGCTAGCCCAGGCTATCCACTGCATTTTAGAAGACAATGCCCAAACTGCCAAAGAATTAAAGGAATGTTAATGAAAAAAATAGAATACTAAAATACAGATTTTCTTATCTACCCTTACTATGTGTAAGAACAAAAGCTTTACCCTGCTGTTGACTATGGACCTTTAGAATATTAACAAAAAGAAAAATCAAGAGAAAACAGCGGAAAAACAATCAGAACTGCAGTGCGACTCAAAACCAGATTTGATGGAGAATCTCCTGTTACTGTATTTTATCAGTTTATAACCCTTCTAGAGCAAGGGAGAGGTACTATGATGGAGAGCAGCAGCAGACAAGTTGAAATCTTGCTGCACATTCACATCTAAACCTGCCTAAACCACAAAGACATCTAAACCACCTGACCAAGCTAAAAGCACAGAGCTGATCCTTTGGGACACAGAATTACAGATGACTGAGCTTGATGGTAACCACACATCTCCTCTGTCACCTACAAAAACTGATGACCTTTAACTACTCTTTCCCTGTGTGGCATCGAGATTCAAGGGTCCTTGACTCTTCGCTACCTTTCAGAATTTGACAAGTTCCTTAATTAAAAATGGATCTTTTTAAAATAGGAGCAACATCAATGACCCTTGAGATCAAGGTGAAAGAAAACAATGTGACAGCGTGCAATTTGTTAGCAAGAAAATACCTTAAAATGCTCATAGCCAAATTTAATCAAAACATGTAAGAAAATCTTACCTTTGCTGCATCGGATTCTTTAAAAATCATGTAAGGCTCAGCACATTCACCAATATCTCCCTGCTGTAATACTTTTTCAAGCTGAGAAGGGAAAATGAACCATTATAAGAACATGTATCCAGCAAGCACTGTTAAATTAAACAAACACGAGGAAACAAAAACATTCTTTCTGAAGAGTTGAAGCTTGATTTCCCTTTGTGTGTCAGGAACAACCACTGCACTCAATCTGTTAGAGCCATTAAGTTCCCACATTTCCAGCTATAATTAAATCAGAAGAGTAAAATACAGTTTCAGAAGGAACATATACCAGTTCACTTCAGTTTAGTACAGTTCTATAGTTCTAGAGCCACTTTCAGCTCATTTTTCAGGTCTCACAGACAGCCTGCACTGTCACCACCATCATCATTTACAAAAGACTGTTCTTATTTTGGGTTTCCTTATTAAGGAACTCCTGCAGCATCACAAGAAGGTCACTTCCATTGTGTTAAGACACACTGTGTTAAGACACACCATTCTAAATCAATGTGTTTTCAAATCAAATAACGAATTATAGCAGCCAAAGAGTACATATTTTCTTCTGAAGCCTCTGAATAAGTCAGTGCCCACTTAGCAAGAAACCCAGCTTTTGATAGACATTCCTTCCCTAGCACAAGCATGCAGACTGCTTCTTTTTAGAAGCATCCTGGCACTGCATTCCATGCTTGCTACTGTGCACATGTTATTGTTATTGTTAGACTACAGCAGCCTTAATGCTCTCCCACACTCAAGAAGTGCCATTTGCACTCATCAATCACTAGAGGCACAAAAAGCCACACAATATAAAGAACAAGACCACTTCCTTTCGTTTCTTACACTCTCTAATGAGTTAATGCCAGCAATAGTAGCTGTACAAAAACAGGATTCACAGTAAATAACAAGAAGTCCCATGCAAAAATTCACCTGGATAAGCACACCATGCATCTGTCTTCTTTATCCTTGACTTTATCTTTTTCATCATCAAATCAAAAAATCACTTAAGTAAATCACTACCAGCTCCTCTTGGATCACTGGTTTTACAAGCACTGATGTGCAGTCACAAGCTCTTTTGGACAGATCTCCATTTCAGAAACACAGGGTTATCTCAACCTCCTATCTTGTGAAAATCAGAAAATCATGTGTGTAAGACATGATTTTTAGAAGAAATTTAGAGATAAAAAAAAAAAAGGAAATCAAATTATTCCCTGAAACACTGACAGCTTTTTTCTCATCTGGGAATTTTCTGTCACGCTAGAAAGTCTTACTTCACCTTCAAAAGCTTACACTTCATGTAAGATGCAGTTCAAGAAGAACTTGTACAAACTCATCAAAAAACGCTGCTAGAAAGCAAAGTATCCACTGTCTGTGAACTGAAAGTATGCATCAAAATCCTCATTAGGGTAGGATAATATTTATGCAGAGACAAATTCAAATGCCAGTCTGACCTCATAGCATTTCTGTGCTCTTTCAAACAAATGAAAAAAAAAAGAGAAAACTTCAATCTTTGTATACTTTATTCCAAGAGTGACCAATGTTGTATTTAATTTCAGTTATGGATCACACTTTCCCAGCAATTCAAATCTGTAAAGATATTTCAAAATCTGACTTCAGGGCATATACCTTTCTCAAAGGAGATTCTGATTGAGATATATTTTTAAATGATTCATTTCTCCATCATTTTAAGAAGGCTGCATGTCATTTCACCTGAAAACCAAGGTCAGATTCCAGAAAGCTGCCCTGTATCAAGCAAAGCTATGCAGTTTCTGCTCTTTTTCAATAATAATAATGTATACCTCCACTGAACTGCTCCTGTTATAAAGGAACTCTATGTGCTAAGTGAGAGGATTTGAAAGAAAACAAAAATGTGTTGTTCCAATGTTTATAATTCTGAGAACAAAATACTGCTTTGCAAGTGTAAGCAACAAGTTGGGCAGTGACCCACACTTGGTTTTACTTTAATATAAATAGAAGTGACAACAGTAATTAAAATTTCTCAAGCATTTCTTACCTTTATTACCAGAAACACATCTTGAGAGGGATAGGTGATTGAAAAGATGGCAGACCTGGCCAGCGTGGATATAGCAGCAGGGGGGACATGTGGACGGAGCATTCCCTTCATTTGTTCGGAGTTTAAATCAAAGTAGAAATTTTCTGAAATCTGAGGAAGAAGTTGGGCAGAGTCAGCATCAGTTCTTCCTATTGTCTGTGAAATCCTCACCAACATCACGGGTAATTCAAGACACAAGTGAAAAAAAAATACCTACAGCATCTCGTTTCTAATCCATGCATGAAAAGATAAGTATGGCATAAGAGCGGGACAGTAGGAAAAGAGAAAAGAAGAAGAGAAAGTTAATATAAGTTTTGTCTTCCTCCTGTAAGATATGCAGTTCCAATCACAGGATTAGGAAACAACTGCTACCTGAATTGAAATATCAAAATATTAAAATAGAAAATGATCTTCTGGAGGAGATCATCCTGCAGGAGACAGAGAGATCTTCACACTGAAACACCAAATCCTCTACAGCATCAAGGCTTCGTTCAAGGCCAAAAGGAATGTGAGCTGGTTATCAACACCAGAGGTCACTAAAGAACTGACTAAGAGAAGGGAAAAAATGGAGTAATGAAATGATAAAATTGGCTTATGAAATGTGATTTAAATATTAAACAAAGTTCACATAATATTCCACATGTTCTCATCTACACAACTTAAAACTCAATGCATTAAATTCAACTCTCAAAGAGATAAATGTCAAAATGCATATTTTTAACATTTTTCTCTCTGCTATTGCTAATATCTTGAATTAGGAAAACTAAGAGACTCTTTAAATATTAAAGATAGAACATAAATAGGGAATAAATGGATTTTGTATCTCCTAGAGCTCAGACACTGAAGACTGCTGAGTTTTGTTTCAATTTTAGCACATATAATTTTCTTGTGCATTATTAGAACGTTACTTGGACACACAGCCTGCTGAATCTCAAAGAAAAGAAAAAGAAAGTCATAAAAACTTAAATAACTGAAACCTTTTATTGAGATTAAATTCTCTCCGGGGAGAAGACTTCTGAAAGCCAAGATTGGAAAATATATATATGCTGATTTCAGGCACTCACATATTAAATAATATTTTTAGAAAAGTAGTTATACTTCAACTGCTTTGCTAAGCAGAAGGAGAACACATAAGGAAGTTCATGATGAAATGCCCTCATCGCTCTTTCAACCACTTGTATCTCACTGTCCTCCTGAAGTGTCTGCTTTCAGAAAGAAACCCCTCTGTTTTATAACACAATCTGTAACACCCGGGCTGAAATGTAAAGTAATAAGAAACATACCTTTTTCTTTTCTTTAACATCATACAAAGCCAAACTTGCAAAAATGGGCTCAATTTCTATCTCAAACCTTGAAAGAAAGAAACATATAGAATCAAATGACTTGCATTTTGTACCAAAAAACAACAATGTACACACTTCCCAAATCCTGCCTGGGTAAAGCGACCACCAAGCACTGTTAGTTCAGATATCAGGAGCAGCAGAGCCAACCTAAAGGCTTCCTGTGTTGAAAAGAGGGAGGTCTCACTCCCCTTTTCCCCCCCACTCCTCACCTGTCCTCGCTCCTATACAAAATTAAGACTGAAATGCAATTCTGCCTGCACAGTCAACCTATGCAACTAATGTTGAATCCGCAGCAGCATCCCCCAGCACCTTGTGTTCAGAGCTCTGCAGGCTGGAACCCTTTCTGCCATCAGGCAGAACAACATATAGGGCTGTATCATCAAACAGGTATTTTCTCTAGTTCTAAAACAAAAGTGAGATTAACTTGAAAAGGAGCCTGCTGATGTAATTTTACACTGAAAAGTAATCTTTCTCTTTTACCCACATTTCTCATTAGACTGAAAAATCCCCTGGGGAAGAGATTACACGCTTCTTGTGTCATTAAGACAGCACAACCTTGGATGCTAGCTATTAAAATGATAAATAAAGTTTCAGAGATTACTGTGGTACACAAACAAGCATGTGTTTGGGCAGATTAGATATAAATTTAGAGTCAGCTCAAATAGCAGAAATCATAAATTTCCAGAATTTAACTTATTTGTGCTACAGACACCATCCTTTGGAGAGGAAGCTCCACTGCTACTGCATATTATGTTGTTCCAGTTCATAAAAGGCTGCAAAATCAGTTCATCTCTACGGCTATATTAGGTCCTGGATTACTCTACAAGCAGGAGATATGTCCCACACATATATCTCAGTTATGAGCTGCAGTGTAGTCTAACTGGGGCTCTCTAATAAGAAGGGTTGACCTAACTGAGGACACAGAAGATGAATACAGCAGTGTGGAAAATCAGTTTTGTACTTTATTTCTCCAAGGGAATAACAGTAAAATTTTACCTTGTGTTATTAGAGAAGAGTTATAGGCAATGAACCAGCTGCAGGTAACCCTACATTCAGGAGCTCCACTTCATTAAACTTGTTTAACAGGTTTCTATTCCTTCAGTTAATGCTTGCTAAGTATATAAAGCCTTCACTCTTAAAGGGACACAGTCAAGGTTGTTGAGCCTAAACTTCGACGAATCTTTGATTTTCTAACACTGTAAAGTGTTAACCTTATGTTTTTAAGGCTCAAGCACTTTTAATTTGTTTTTCTTGCCCCACTTACATATCCTTGTTACAGAGCTGAATACCAATGGCTGGCCAATTGCAGAGCCCTACACAAGCACAGCCAAGATGTATGCTAGCAATATGGGACAGGTTTAACTACAGATTGGCTGAAAAAGAATGCAAAAAAAGCCAAGTAGAGTGAAAATCTTCTATGTCAGACCAATACAAAGGAAGTCTCAAAGATAAAATCATCTGATGCACATTACTGCATATGTTGCACTTTAGAGAATTAACCTTTAAGCCCATGACCAAATCAAAGTTACAATGTTTTAAGGATATTAAACAAGATGGCAGAGTTATCCCAGAAGCATCTGGATGTAACAGACTTAAATTCTCAATTTCTATAGTGTAGCTCTTTGTTGGAGTGATACTTACTTAAGAGACAAACACTTCACCAGGAGTCTTTGGCCAAAGTGCTCTTTGGGTACTTCAGGAATGCTAAGTCGTTCTATAGGCTCCTCCTGAAATGTACACAGGAACAGCAGTTTAGAGACAACACTTGTACAAACCACTAATACCACTATGACACAAGTACACGTGGTGCTTTTTCCTTCTAAGACACTAGCATCAATCTAACCCAAGGTTTACCAATGTGATGTATGCAGCAGCAGCCTCTACCACACTAAATTAAATCCCTCTAATGTTTCTACATTACAGTGATCAGATACCCATAAGGGAAAACGAATCTTCAGAAAGCAGCATGTATGTAACATACCAAAAAACTCTCAACTCCTGCAAACCAGCTAAGGTTCTCATGGAAATTTAACAGAGATGATCTCGACTCTTTGAATCATTGGCAGACTGACAGATTTCACATTCTCTATATCCTCCACTTTTTTAATCTCACCCCCATACATATAAAAATACCTCATCTGGAGCCGGGTGTAGTGCAAAAAGCTCCTTATGCCTATTGGACTTCCTCTGATCTTCATTGTGGTGGTCAATCTCTTCATTGGGGGTTCGGTCCAGCAGGTTTGGGAGAAGGGCATCTGGAAGGGAGTTCTTCAGATCAAAAATACTGCAAGCCCAGCTGCCCCGAGGAGTATCGTCAATCGACATTGAGCGCCGCTTAAGGTCATCCTGAGATTCAACAAATTGAAAGCAACTTACAGTGGGAAAGGGATTGCACTTTTAAAATGCAACTCTACATTAGGTTTTAGGTGGCAAGTTTTGAAAGGTACTTTACTTGTTCATCGTGGTAACTGTTGCCATCTGGAGCTTCATCAGACTCAAAGACCTGTTTGGGGAGCCCCTTTTGCCTCTCCTTCTGTTTGTCTAAAGTGTTGGGATTAAATCCAGTCCCCAGTTTGTGATACCTGAAAACAAAGCATTTCAAGAGCACTTTTAGCATTATTTTTGATCCCAAACCCAGAAGCAGAATTACAGAACAAACGCAGTATTAGCAGTGCGGATCATCTCAAAGCATGAATTGCTCTCTGTGTACCCACTGTAGCTGTGTAATAATCCAACAACCAGTACTACAGTGTGACTTTGTTCAACTCTAAAGAAACGCTGGGTGATGTCCAAGGAATTATTATCAATGCCCAATTAAGGGCATCATAAAATGAGCAATTGTGATGCCAAGCTTAAGACAGGACAATAAGGAGAAGATGGAAGGCCAGTGGTTCTGTAGGAGCAGGAATTGGCTGGGAGCAGACAATATTAACACCATGCAAACCAAAGCACCAGCACTAGGCTGGACTGCAAGCAGCACTGAGGTTCTGAGTATGCTGGAAAACATTTGAGTTTCTGACTTCAACTAAAATGAGCATCTTCCCAGAGCATCTTTATAAACTGGGTCCTACAGAGCATTCCAGAGCTCAAGAGCACTTGCTAGTAAACAATCTGTTTGCTGTTGCTAACAAGATCACATCTCTTTGACTAACAAATTTTAGGATACCAAATGGCACTGTGTCTGCATTCACACACATATGGCCTGAGCCATAGCCTCTTTACAAAACAAACTCAGTCAGTCTGACTTAAGTTAAACGAAGTCAATTTCCAAAGTAGTGCTGGGGTTGAACCTACAATCAATTGCTTATATCCTGCCCTGCTTCTACAGTTACTACAGAAAGCTAAACAGACATGGCAGGCACACAGATGTGCAAGCAGTGAGTAATGAATAGAAGGTGAAAGAAGAGGAAAGCAAAGGCATATATTCAGTCTGAATACCATTAAACTATTCACCTAATGGACAGATTTCACTGTCCCCAAATATATTTTGGTAATGAAGAACCATAGAGAAAGATTGAAATAAAGACTATTTCCCCTGGCGTGGAGGAGAAAGAAGAATAGCACGGCAGAAGTCAAGCTCTTCTGAAGCTCGATGATCAGGATGTTGTACCCCCAAATCTGGCCAACCACTTGTAACCATCCAGTAAGAAAGACCAAGAGAAACCAGCTACCATCATCCAGTAACAGATTCCTGATCTGGCAGACAAGACGACCTTACTTGAAAAACAATTCAATTCTTTCCAGCCGTGCTTTTGGGCTCCTGTTTTGCTACAACAACCTTCTTGTTTCTATGCAGTGCACTGCTGTGATTTTATCACAGCAAAAACTGCTAGGGATGCTTATGGAACTGCCTCTCCTCTTCCAAAGGAGCAAGGCTTGGGCTGCAGCTCAGCAGTCACTCAGCACAGCCTCGCCCCACTCAGACAACTCTAATGCCTTTAGCTGCATGCCTTCCTTGGCACTGACCACATCTGCACAGGACAGAAAGCTTTACTGTTTCCAACCAATGCAGTGTAGGAAACACAGCCAGGTGTTAGAGATTCCACTAAAAGTCACTGAGAAGCTGCGAGGTATGCTTGCTGACTGGGTCACACTACCCAAGCCTATTGTGCAGTCCTGGCTCTGCCCACAATGGCTGGGAGTTAATAAAACATCCTCTCTCAAGTTTCCTTTTTTTTTTTTTCGCTAAGAGGTTACAAACCACATTTTTATTAGGTCATCTTAGCACTGCAAAGCATATCTTCAGCATCCTCTGGAGCAGTGCTCTGGACAACATTAAACCAGTGAATTGTAGCAACTACTACAAGGGCAGAGCTGTAGCTGTAGTCAAGTCATTTTAAGGTGATGCACATCACATGGATCACTTATTCCTCGACAGTAGCTTCTGAAGTCATCAGACCTTCAATCATCTGAGAGAGTATGTTCAAAGTAAAGCTACTTAGAAACTTCCCAGCTAATTTGTATAAATTGGTGCATATTCTCTAAACAGTTAGCTCACTTTGTAAAGACTGTGACAGCTCAAACACTAACAGGCATTTGTTTAAACTGTGCTCCTTCCAAACGTTTCTTTGTGAACAAACAAATGTTGCAGAATGTTGCACCTTAAGGTGCTTGCATCTGCATACGTAAACCTTACATCTTATAGGAAGCACTAAAAATGTATGAAAGGGAGCAAATGCTGACAGTTTAAATCCCTAAAGTAATTTTACATTCCCCAATATTTTAAAGGAGCTGCAGTTGATGAAAATGACCTAGATTTTCAAAAATGCCCTAAGGGGTTTTGATGTCCATGAGATCTAATTTTCAAAACAAAAAGCATCATTTCAGTTAAAAACAAAGCATCAGTTCAGCGCAGCGAGGCAAATAAAAGCCAAGGCACACGAAAGCAGTAACCAGGAAAACCATTTTCGAGCTTCCTCATAGCTGCTAGTCACCCTGAAAAAAACCTGAAATATGAAATCAAGCTGACAAACGTCACAGGGAACTCACTTTCTGTTCACAATTGCCCAGTCTTCCGTGTAACTTCTCACACAGTCCCTCACGTGAGGGTCCATCTCACTGTAAAAGAATAAAGAACAACATCTTTAGAGTGGCAGACGTGCAGACTTTCACTTCAGGCACATTACAGACAAGAATTCCAGACTTCACCCTTGCAGATTTTCAAATGCAGAACAACTGACTCCCTTGGGCAAGGTGCTCCCCTGCCTCCTCCTACCTCTCTTCAGGAACAGCTGACACAAGCGTCCGACATTCTCGGGGGGTGTACACAACCTCAATGTCATCGGGAGGAAACTCGAGCAAGTCTCTCAAGGGGCCAGACTCGACTGCAATGGGGTGTGTGATAAGGTAATCCTCCAAATCAACCGGGTCCACTGCTTCTGTAAGCGGCACCTGTGGGAAGGCAAGCAAAGGAAGGGTCTTAAAACAAGGACAAAGAAAAGAAACCAATCCATCATTTTGCTTCTAAACCAGGCATTACATTTTACTTGCCATGTAAATGACTTTGGATTTTTTTTTATTTTTTTTTTTTCAGTTGCTGGTCTGATCACAAAAGGGACCTTCATCCTGATTGAAAATGCAAAAAAACCAAACCCTCTCACACTTCACACAGCCTGCGGACAGGAATTCAAAGCATGGGCTGATTTACCAGCAGCACATGAAGTCATAGAGCCCAGAAGACTAAAGCTATTTCAAATTAAGTGACTTTTCCAGGGAACACACAACACAACATTTCTCTGCACACTGAACAATCTCTTCTGATACTGGGGACCTTTGGGGCCCAGATTACACAGCCCAACCCAAAGCAACTCTGCTCCAACCAATACAGATCCTTAAAAAGCATCTTTTGAGGGCACAGAGCTTTCCCATGAAGCACAGGGAATGACTGAACAGTCACCCATGCAGAGGAGCAGTAGGTTTCACTGGAAGCACTGTTCCCACCATAATGCAAAAAAGTGAGCTAAAAGGGCCCTTCCTTTTAAATGCATAAGCTAGCAATTGCATAACTGTGTATTTTAACATATGCATATTATATAAGTACATATATATTCTGATATGAGATCACCATACTATGAGGCTGCATATAAACAGGTATTAAGACAATGAAACGTTAAGAACACATGTTGAGGAACCCACTTCTGCAGCAACTGACACGTTTCCTACAATTCCCCAGCACACCCCAGAGAGGCTTCATATGAATCACAAAAGCAGATTAAAATTCAGCAGTTTTTCTCCTGCTGCTCTTTCCAGACACCCAGATGACTTCTGCGGGACAAGGAAGTTATCTTTTATTGGAGGTTATTTTAATAAGAACACTCAGTACTCAAATTTTAAGCACGTTTCTCTAAAGCCTTGTTACCCCAACCGAAAAAGTCTACTTTTTAAACTTAAGCTGCCAAAAAGTTCTGAAATAAACGGACTTTTTATTCAAGGCAAAGACTTGGCTGGCACAGCAGTACTGAAAGAATCACTCTTGCCACAGCCAACCTCGATGAATACTGCAATTTTCTTCAAACACAGAAGGCCAAACCTTCAGCAGGAAGACGGCACAGTGCCAGTAAAGCCAGGTGAGTTAGACCAGATGACTTCATGCCAGCTGAGAATCTGAACCACAACACACACACACAAAAAAAAAATAAATAGAACAACGCATGTCCAGAATCTCAGTACTAAGCTCTGCAACTTACGAAAAAAGCAGAAATTAATTTCATGTATTTAACTCCAACCCTGGGACCTTTTTGTGGATGCTCCATCCCTGCAGGCTGGACGTGGCTCTGGGCAGCCTGGTCTGCTGGTTGGTGACCCTGCACACAGCAGGGGGTTGGAACGAGATGAGCACTGTGATCCTTTGCAACCCAGGCCATTCTATGGTTCTACGATTTTTTTCCCCTTCTAGTCCTTTACTTGGAAATGGAGTGGAGCTGTGGGATTAGCAGAACTTTCGAAAAAACAGAAGTGTTAACTGCTTTTGCCACAGCAAAACTCACAGCAAGAATGCGTCACTGCTCTTTCCCACACAGCAGCCAACATGTCACCACCTCACACTATCTGTTTCTTAAATGTAGATAGACTGGCTCTGCTTGGCACTGGAGGACTGACAAAACTCACAGCACGGTGTCACAGTGCACTGTTGAGGAATTGCTAGAAGTCCAGGCTTTTTTCAGGAGAGCTGCTGCGTTAAAGCAAATGGGAGCACGCAGGACTGAGCAGGGCCTGCCACAGCCGCACCACCATTCCCACCTCACAGCACTCCACGTCTCAAATCTCACTTGCCCAACCGCAGCATGATGATGTGTTTGATGAAAGAAGACCCTAGCAGCCAATGCTCCCCCAGGACAGCAGTGCTGCGGGGCTGCGCAGGCTCCATCTGTGCTCTGGGCACCTCCAAGCCCTTCACACACCTCAGCATTTGGCCCAAGGTTAACGCTTCCCAATGTTCCAGTTTGTCTCTTCAGATAACTATTGTACCATGAAGATGTAAACACACATAAAAGTCAGACCCAGAAGCCTGTATTAGACTCGCCATCTGTGCAGCCAGAAATACTGTCTAGCACCTGAGTAAACAGGCCAAACATAAATTCATGGCTACGAAGAGGAACTACTTCACATCAGACTATTGGCAGATAAAAGGCAAGCACATTATTTTAAGCCTTAGATATTTGTGGGGGCAGAAGTGATGAAAGAGGAGGAGGAGATAGGAAGGAAGAGGTGCACCAAAAGGTAAGTGAACCCAAATGGCATCACAGCCTTTGAGCTGAGCCACCTCTCCGCTCCAGCTTCACACTCCTGCATCCCTCCAGAGCACCAGATGAGACCAAGAACAAAATCAACACACAAGGGGCTGTTTTTGTATCTGCAAACTGGCCAAAGCCTCAGCCACCAGAACTTTTCCAACAAATCCGTCAGATGTAGCGTGCACTGAAAGAATTGGATGAGTTCAGATGAAGAGCAGGTTATCCAATCTCACCACCCTGGCCTTGTTGCTGACAGAGGAGCAGAACCTGTTTTATCTCATCCCCAGCCCCTGCTTGCCTCCACACAGCATCCAGAAAAACAAGGAGCTCAGCAGCTGACTGCCACAGCCTATGAGGACTGCGGTTCTTCTTAGTCGGCAGGACTTTGGTCTTTAACCTCACGCATCACCCTGACGTCCAGCTGATCTCCAGATCATCACACCAGCAGCACATGCCACTGTCAGCTGCACGTGGGGAGGTTTAGAAATCTCTGTTGCAGAAATGTGGGGAACATGTGAAGAGTTGTAACGCTGTCCTCTTCCACAGCACTGTGTGCTGATGGGTCAGAGAGAGCAGCATCCTGACAGAGGCACACAGCCTTCCCACTGCTGCCAGGAAATGCCTTTTCCACTTGTGCTGACAGCTCCTAGGAAGCAGGAGAGGTGCTTCCTCCACGTATGGAGATTGTTTTTCATCTTTGGGCTTCCAGCTGCATGGAGACAATCTCAGTCAAGTATCTGCAAATGTGCAGTCCGCCTACCAACACACTAATGAAACCCAGGAAGGAAACACTGGAGTTCTGCCCTTAAAGAACTGCTGATGAGGCATCTTCATAGTCATTAGTAAGGCCCTCCAGAAACTGAATGTGTGCACAGGCTCTCATCATATCCCCAGCTAGGACTAGGGGATGGTTTAAACTAACAGTGAATGCACAAGAAGGAAAGCCTACTCTCAGCATTGTGACTACTGCTCTTATAGAATAAACCTGTCAATTTTGTACAACCTGTAACTGAAGATCAATTTTTGGACAGTCTTTCAGGTAATTCCTCAACACAGTTTTTGCTCAGTCTTGATCCTATGGCAAACACTGCCACCTCACTAAGGAAGGGCTCTTCTGAGGTGACAGAAATTAACAGGGAGAAAGAGGATCCTCAGCATGAGTAAGTGGGGCACAGTCTGCTCCCTTACCAACATAACCACCAGGTACAACACACCAATGAACTGACAGTACAGAACAAATCCAACAGGACACCCATTTTTTAAACAATCCATTCACGCCGAATCAAACACCGCTTGCAAGTCATGATTCTGCATACATCCTTAATCTGACCATGGATCCACACTCAGTCAGCTTAACCAAGATGCCATCCTCATCGATTTGCCTTATACAAGCTCTTTAGCACATGTAATCCATAGGTGCATCTGTGCTGCTGCAGTTATGGCTCTCAGACGTTGCATTACAAAACCCTATTTCACAGGTTTATAACTCTCCTGAAACAGGGACAGTCAAGCTTTCTTCTTTAAGGCTGTGTTATTCTTCACTGTTATATCCTCTTAAAAGCCCGAAAATAAACTTTCGTTTCTTATCGACTTTGTCCTTTTCTAGACAGTAAACACAGTATTTTGCTGTAGTTTTAGTGCACCACTAGCCAAAATGTCTCTCCATCCTATTTATTTCCTTTTCTGAGCACCTGTATCATCATCATCAGTTACAGAAGAAGCATCTGCTCAAATCTGGCAACAGGGGCATGAACATCAGCTGAAGGACAAGGTATAGCCCCGTGGAGACAGCAAAAACTCTCTCTTGCTTCAGCCAAGCAGCTCACCCATGAGCTGCAGGGGCAAAGGGCTGACGCAGGAGGAATGCTGCACACAGGGCACCACACTGCAACGCCCACAGCCTGTTCTACCCCATCAAGGAAGCAAAACTAGAAAGCAAAGGGCAGAGGCACACCGTGGTGTTGGCCTTGTACAAGTGGCAGGGATGGGGTCAGCAGCAGCTGGTGCACATGGAGAGAGCAGAGCAATCAGAAATGTGCACAAGGCAATTCCAGGGACAGAGGGGCTGCCTCGCTATCACAGCCGTGAACAGGCAGTGGGTATGCTCTCCATAGATCCACTTCTCCATCAGGTTTAAGAAATGACCAAAGACGGATTTAATTAGGATACCATTCATTACCCATCATTACGTGCCCTTGTCTGAACAACCTCCTGCCCCAGTTTGCTTCCTTCATGAAGCAATTCATTAATCTAAACTAGTATCTAAAATGTAAAGGTCTGTTGTTTTGGGCAGTGTACAGAAGCCCAATAAGGGATCACAGCAGCAAAGAGGGCAGGAAAAGGGACAATTATTATCTCCATCTCACAGACACTGACTTTGAACACAGAGAACACCCAGTGTACGTCACTGCTGCATGCCCTGACATCCACAGGCATTCTGACTTTTGCCTATAGGACTTTAATCTGTCCTCTCCCTCCACAAGCAGCTGTGCAGAGGGGATATTTCTAGATCCATTTGAAAGTTTGTTGCCTAGCTCACACACAGTACAGAGCACCACAAGTACTCTGGAGGGACACGTGCCCTAAGCAACACAGACCTACAAGCTAGGATTCCACAGATTTCCTGCTAGCATACATCAGCACAGCCACGAAAATCAC